AGCAAAAGAGACTTCTTTCAAAAGCATTTAAAAATCTTACCGACCCCACTTTACTTTTGAATGGTACTGTAAGCATGATTGGCTGTTATGTAAAAAGTAAAATATTATATTGCAAACATTAGCTGTGAACACACATGCCCTTGATATGAATTCTAAAAGTGACGTATGTTTAACTGTCAACTTGAGCTTTGAATCCGTGGCGGATGGAAGTAGTTCTGCACAAAAGAGGGTTTTATTAGGCACTCCGTTGTTTCTTGTTTAATTACACACATGTTCCGTCGAACTGTTGTATAAATGCAATATCACTCTCGTACTCGAGCGATACCGGCTCTATATCAGCAGCTGTGATTGCCTGCGGCCTCGTGCCTCTGGCCTAATCACAGCCATGCTGATATAGAGCCGGTATCGCTCTCTCTCGGACTCTCTCGTACTCGAGTGATATTGCTCATGTAAACCAAATACTGAACTGATTAAGTGGAATATCTGTACAAATGACAAAGTCTATATTTATTCAGTACTTTGGTACACAATATATCTATGTACTATGTTACTACCATCTGATGCTATAACTATACCATGGTACCAACATAGTACTGTTTGTAAGGGTTATAATTACAATATGACTTCATTACTTCATATTGTACTTTTATCTTGAGTAAAATGGGTGTGTGTGTGTGTGTGTGTGTGTGTACCGCTGAATTCTTTCTTCAAATAAGTGAGAAACTCTTTTCTGCCCATTGGGTCGTTCAGCAGCTCCATGAAGCTAAAGCTCCAGCGCTCCACACGCATTTTAGTCGGCACGGCAACTCTATTTCAAGAAAACACAGATATACAGAGCAATAACTGAGCTTCAGACAGGACATTAGTATACTTTAGGAGTTTAAAATGGTTATTCATGTGTGTTCATGTGACTCACGTTTCACAGTTCATGTTCCAAAACATGATATCATCTGTGATCCAGGGGATGCTGGGAAGACATCCTTGCATTATGGGGTCATGGGGCTGGTACTGCTCACAATACTTAACGTAACTGCACACACACACACACACACACACACACACGCGCGTAAGGTCCTCACAAAGGGTTATGGTAAGAGTTCTTTTTAAAAGATACTTTGATGACAGTCCATTAGTTCTAGCCTGAAGACTTTGTCAGAGTAAAGACACACACACACACACGGATTCAGTACCTCTCAAGGCAAATTGAGGACTTTACACGGTTCCTCGCCAGGCTTATTCTGTTATGTTCAATCTAAAGCCGTTAAAAACATAAAAACACACAAAACAAGCTTGACAGGAGATAAATTTGGTTATATTTCACAGTACAGTGTGTGCTGCATATGGAAGGGATAATGTATAGTCTTAGTATAGTCTATAGATAATGTATACTTTTTTACAAGAAAATGAATTATGTTTATGTATTTTGAATTATGTTTCAAATAGAAAGCAGAAAATATAGAAAATAGAAAATATATGTATATATTTTAGAATGTAATT